CTGCTGGGGTTGGGGGGCCCCAGCAGCAGCAGCAGCAGCAGCAGCAGCAGCACAGTTGGCTGCAGCGCCAGAGCCTTCAACAGCAGCCGGCGAGGCCGCGAGCACTTGGGCGAATCATGCATTGGGAGGCATCAAATGAAAAAGGCCTCACGCTGCTGCTGCTGCTGTAGTTGCTGCTGCTGCTGCAGTTGCTGCTGCAGTTGCTGCTGCCGCTGCTGCTGCAGCTGCTGCGGCTGAGGGTGCGCTTGCTGCAGCTGCTGCCGCTGACGCTGCTGCTGCTGTTTCCCCTGCTTCTGCTGCCGCGTCTCGACTCGGTGCTGCTGCTGTTGCTGCTGAACTGCGTTGAGCTGCTGCGGCAGCAGCAGCAGCAGCGCAGCAGTGCTGGGGGTCCCCTAGGGATTAACGAAGGACGGCCTGCTGTGGAGCGGCTATTTGCAGCGAGGGTTTAGGGTTTAGGGTTTAGGGTTTAGGGGTGGGGATCGATCCCTGTGGCGGGGACAAGAGAGGCACCGCAGCCGCCGCGTTCTCGCCTCAGCTGCTGCTGCTGCTGCTGTTGCTGCTGCTGCTGCTGCTGCGGCTGTTGAGAGTCAAACGACAAGTGACCAAAAGGAAAAGAAAGCGTCAGAATGCGCAAAAACGATGGGCAGGAGCTGCTGCTGCTGCTGCTGTGGCGGAGGCTGTCCTCTACGCCGTTGCTGCTGCTGCTGCTGCTGCTGCTGTTGCAGGAGCAGGGCCCTGCTGGCTCTCTCTTGCTGAAGGCTTAAGGATTCGAATTTTTAGTCATTTACAAAATAAACAAGAAATAATGCTTCCGAAAAGACGGCAGCAGCAGCGAAATCCCAAGACAGAGCCTTCCTGCAGCAGCAGCAGCAGCAGCAGCAGCAGCGTCGCTTCTTCACAGCTGTGCATACACTGCAGCAGCAGCCTCGCGAGAAGGCACTGCGCCAAGCCCGAGGCCCTGAGTGCCTCACACACTTAAAAACTTTATATTAATTTAAATAACATTTAATTGCATCGAATCAGTTTATATGTTTTCCTGTTCTTCTTGCTGCGGCCCACCTGCTGCTGGCTGCAGCAGCAGAAGGCACAGGGGGGCCCCCAAGGACCCTGCGAAGCCCCGCGGGCCTCTGGGGGCCCCTCGTGTCTCAGGGGCCTTTGCTGCTGCTGTTTCCCAGCAGATGAGAAAGCAGAGACTCAATACCTGCTTCTTGCCGCCGCCAAGCAGCAGCAGCAGCAGCAGCAGAAGCAGCGGCAGCAGCAGCTGCTGCGGATCCCCGCTGCTGCCGCCGCTGGAGCAGCAGCCGGGCACTTCTGGCCGAGCAGCCAGCAGCAGCCGCAGCAGCAGCAATGGAAGCAGCAGCAGCAGCAGCAGGTGTGGGGACCTGCTGCTGGCGCTGCCGGCTCCGCATGCGCGGCTGCAAAGACCTTCGCCTATACCAACTCTTCCAGGGGGCCCCCGAGCCCCACAAGTGCCCCGAGGGGGGCCCCCCTGGTGTCTCTGGGGGCCCCCCGGGGGCCCCCGGGGGCCCCCAGGGGGCCTCCGGGGGGCCCCCCGCCACCTATGAGCTGCCCCTGTGCGGCTGCTGCTGGGGGGCCCCGCAGGAGGCAGCAGCAGCTGCTGCAGCGCAGCAGAGTTCTTCTCAAGGAGCAGCAGCTGCTGCTGCAGCGCATCAGATTTCTTCTCAAGAAGCAGCAGCAGGAAGCTGCTGCGCTCAGTGCAGGGGCCTCTGCTGGCTTGACGCTGGGGGGCCCCTGGGGACCCCCTTGTGTCTGCTGCAGCTGCTGCAGGGGGCCCCCGGGGGGCCCCCGAAGCAGCTGCCGCTGCATGCAGCAGCAGCAGCGCGGCTGCTGTTGCTAGCTGCCCTTAGGGAAGCTGCTCCGGAGGTGTTGCTGCAGCAGTCAAGTCACCCTGCTGCGGAGCTGGCAGCAGCAGCAGCAGCTGCTGCAGCTGCTGCTGCTGCTGACAAGAAGCTGTCTTTTGGTCTTGCTGCTGCGTGGAGGGCCATTAGCCGCCCCTTTTTCCAGCAGCTTGTAGATGTGGAGATCCCCTCGTGTCTTGCTGGTGCTGCTGCTGCTGCTAGCGCTACCGCTGCTGCTGCTAGCGCAACTGCTGCTGCTGCTAGCCCCGCTGCTGCTGCTGCTGCTGCAGAGGAAGTACCGCTGCAAGAGTTCGTGAAGCTGCAGCTGCTGCTTGCTCTTTTGCGCTGTGGCGTTGCCCGCCAGCCTACGCCGCCGCAGCAGCAGCAGCAGCAGCAGCCAGCAGCAGCAGCAGCAGCAGCAGATTGGCCTGACTGGGCAGCAGCAGAGGCCTGCTCTTTCAAGGTGACAATTTCGTGCAGCGCTCACGACAACAGGAGCAGCAGCACAGTAGCAGCAGCAGGAGCAGCAGCTGCTGCTGCTGCAAACAATGGCCCAGATAGCCAGGCAGCAGCAGCAGCAGCTGCTGCTGCTGCTGCTGCGGCGCACACTGCAGCAAAGGAAGAGGCCCTGTGCTGCGGGCGCCTAAGGGACCTCCGAATTGTTTTGAAGTCTCTCTTAGTAACAGGCAAGGCTCTGCGCAGTAAAGACCTAGGGTTTAGGGTTTAGGGTTTAGGGTTTAGGGTTGAGGGTTTGAGGGTGTAGGGTCTGCTGAGGGTTTAGGTTTTAGGGTTTAGGGTTTAGGGTTTGCGCTCAGGGAGGTACTCAAAGTTCAGTCGTCTGCTAAGCCAGGCGGAGTGGCGCGTGGACGGCCAGAGGAAGGCAAGCCATAAACCCTAAACCCTAAACCCTAGACCCTCGCCGCTGCAAACCCTAAACCGCAAACCCTTGTTGCCCTAAGCCAGAAACCCTAAACCCTCGTCAATCCCTGCGGCTTATTCGCCCAGATCCTGAAGCTGAAGACCCTAATTGGCAGCCCCTAAACGCCAAACTCTAAACCCTAAACCCTCAGCCTTTGGTTCTAAAGCCCAGTCGCCAAACCCTAAACCCTCGTAGTAAAACTCCAAGCCCTCGACTGCTAGCACTAAACCCTAATAACCAAACCCTCGCCACTTAACTACAAACGCTGAGCCTAGCGCCTTCTGGAGAAATAGCTCGAGGGTTTCCGACTTTGGGTTTAGGGTTTAGGGTTTAGGGTTTAGGGTTTTGGTGGTGCAGCTGGACATGTCGGTGGAAGAGGCCTTGGGGCTGCCGCTGCAGCGGCTGTTTGAGGCGAAGACCTTCAAATTCATGGCTGCTGGCAGGTGCTGCTGCTGCGTCTGCTGCTGTTGCTGCTGCTGTTACTGCTGCTGCTGCTGCTGCTCTTGCTGCTGCTCTTGCTGCACGCTTTCTTTGCTGCAGCTGTCCCCCGGGCGCTGCATCTGCTGCTGCTGCATATGTTGGTGTGCTGTTTTCCTCGGCATGAGGGCCAGGGTAGAAGCTGCTGCGGCAATTGCTGCTGCTGCTGTTGCTGCTGCTGCTGCTGCTGCTGCTGCAGGGAGGACTCAGATGTGCGCATGCTGGGGGATGGCCGCCCCTTTGCTTTGCTGCTGGAGCACTGCAGCAGATGCCCCGAAGACCTCATTAACGCTTTAAGTCGGGATTGCAGCAGCAGCAGCTGCAGCATGGGCTCTTGCTGCAGCTGCTGCACTTCAGGTGCTGCAGCAGCAGCACATGAAGTGCAGCAAGGCTCTTTACCCCCTTCTAAGCGCTGCCGCATTGAACGAGCAGCAACAGGCCCTGCTGTAGCAGATGCAACAGGAGCAGACGCGGTAGCAGCAGATGCAGCAGCAGCAGCAGCAGCAGAAGGCGCAGCAGCAAAGAAAGCCGCGGCAGAAGCAGAGGGAAGTGAAAAAGCCCTCGACAAACTGCTGCTGCGGTGGTCGCAGCCAGAAGGGATTCCACAGGACCGCGTCTTGCCTTTGTGCTGCAGGGGCCCCCTAAGCAGTGCAGCGCAGGTGGCCTCCTTGCTGCTGCTGAAGCAGCAGCAGCAGCAGCAGCAGCGGCAGCAGCAGCAGCACGTGGCCGTTAGCAGCAGCATTCCTAACGGCAGCACCAGCAGTAGCAGCGAAGCACACCTCCAACTGTGCGCCTCTTCGCATGTTCCTTTAGGGGAATCAGTGAAACGCTGCAGCAGCGATGAAGAGCCTTCTGCAGCAGCAGCAGCTGCTGCTGCTGCTGCTGCTGTGACAGTGCAGCAGCTGCAGTTCCACAGCAACAGCAAAGCCCTGCGTCTGGCACTGCAGTTGGGCGCTGAGGAGAAGGTCAAGTGCTACGAGGCTTTGGTGTTCAGCGCCCTGCCGCTGCAGCAGCAGCAGCTGCAGCAGCTGCAGCAGCAACTACAGCAGCAAGGTGGCCTGCAGATACACCAGAAAACGCCCCTCCGCGTGCTGCACAGAAGATCGCTAGCTGCAAGGTGGGGTTGTGGGGTGTCTGTACACCCGTTGCTGGAACCGCAGCAGCAGCAGCAGCAGCAGTAGCAACAGCAGCAGCAGCAGCAGCAGCAGCAGCAGCTTTGTATCTGCGGCGTCGCAGGCCAAGACAAATTGAAGCCCTCAGCTTCCAGCTGCTGGGGCCCCACTTATTTGTTTGCCGGCTGAAGACCCAAGCAGGTGCGTGAGGTGTACGTACACCTGAAGTAGTGGCGCAGCAGCTGGGGTGTACATACACCTCAGTGTGGGGCCATCCGAGGTGTACTCCCCCCCGACTGCATGCACTTTGCGAAAAAGGCAAGAAGCTGCCGCCAAGCTGCCTGTCGTGTGGGCCCCCTAGGGTTTAGGGTTTAGGGTTTAGGGTTTAGGGTTTGGAGGCCTTGTTTTGCCTCAGGCACATATATCAAAGAGTTCGTGCACGGCGACATGGGCAGGACAAGACCCAACCTCAGCGAGCTCTTGGGGGCCCCCCTAGACCTTCTTCTTCTTGACGTGCTGGCCCTCCAGTTCTAACTTGGGGCCCATGGGGGCCCCCACAGGGGCCCCACAGGGCCCCCAAAGGGTCCCCAAAGGGGCCCTACAGAGGCCTCACAGGGGCCCCATAGGGGCCCCGTAGGGTACCCTTAGGGGCCCCATAGGGGTGTCCAGAAGGGTGCCCGGAAGGGCCCCTAGGGGCCTCCAAAAGGGTCCATTTTGAGTCTTTTAGGGACCCCAAGAAGGCCTCAGTGGGGCGCCTTTGCAGCTTTTTGATTGAGTCTATAAGGGGCCCCCAAGGGGCATTTTGGGGGGCCCTGCCGGTAGCCTCACCATACACACTTCGCTGCAGCGGGGGCCCTGCAGCGAAAAAGGCGCTGTAGCGACGAACTGCTGCAGCAGCACTTTGCTGCTGCAGCACGTGGCTGCTGCAGCACGTTGCTGCTGCAGCACTTTACGACACATGCTGTGCACTGCAGCAACAAGTTTTGGCTAGGGTTTAAGGATATGGAACTTGCGAATAAGGGTTTAGGGTTTACTGCCTTTAGGGTTTATTCCATAGTTCTAATTCAAAGAAGAAGTCTTTTAGGCCCTGAGGAATTTTCTCAACAGGCCAAGGGGGACCCCAGGGGTCCCTTTGGGGCCCCTAGGGGCCCCAAAGAAGCCCTTAGGGGCCCCATAGGGGCCCCCACGAGAGATTAAGGGGCCCCCAGGGGCCCCGTAGGGGCCCCCACAGGACATTAGGGGTCCCCAGAAAGCATGAGGAGGTCTTACATGATTCCAGGGGCTCCCTAGAATGTAGAATGCTCCCTACGGCTCTGTGGGCCTTGAGGCTTCTTTGGGGCCCCCCTGGGGCCCCCTTGGGGGGCCCCTTGGGGCCCCCTCAAAGCCCCCTTGGGGCCCCCTCTGTGGGGCCCCCCGGGGGCCCCGCGAGGGGCCCCCGGGGGCCCCGCAGAGCTCTGAAGGGCCTGCCTTAGGGGCCCCCTGGGTCCCATGGAAGTACCTACGGCTTTGCCGCGGGGCCTCCCTGGGGCCCTGGGGGGCCCTCTCAGGCCCATGGCAGTTGTGGGCACTCTGCAGTGCTGGGGGCCCCTCTTGAGACCCTTGTGAGTACCTTGGGGGCCCCCGAGGGCCCCTGGGGGCTTTCGAGGCCTCTGGAAGCTAACGGGGGCCCCTAGGGGCCCACTGGGGGCCCCCAGGGGGCGTTGGAGGCCCCTGGGAACTAAAGGGGGCCCCCCTAGGGGCCCCAGCGGGGGCCCTGAAGTAATAGGGTTACCCAAGATGAACAGAAGAGCCCTTTAATGGACTAAGGGGGCCTAGGGGCCCTAGGGCCCGAGGCCCCAAGGGTCTAACCTGCTGCTGCTGCTGCTGCTGCTGCTGCTGATCCTGCTGCTGCTGCTGCAGGATCAACAGCAGCAGCGCTGCATTGGAAGCCCTTGCGGGGCCACGGCTGCCCTCATTGGGGCTTTTTTATTGTTTCTTCATTTGTCTCTTTATTTGTTTCCTCATGTATCTTTTTATTCATCTCTTCACTTGTCTCTTTCTTTATCTCTTTTCCCTTTCTGCGTTTGCTGCTGTCTCCGTTGCTGCTGCTGCTGCTGCAGTTTCTGCTGTTTCCTGGAGCGTCTGTTGCTGGTGGGTATTCTTGGGTTTTTCTCTGGTGCACTTCGGCTGCTTCATGTCTTCACCTGCTGCTGCTGCTGCTGCTGTTTTGTGGCGGCTGCTTGTGCCGCTGGTGTTTTTGCTGCTGCTGCTGCTGCTGCTGCTGTGCTGTTGGCAGCAGTTTCTGCTCCGCTGGTGGCGCTCCGTCGTCGCTGCGCGCATTTCTGTTGGGATTTGAAGAGTTCTGCTGGACTTGCTGTTTGTCCTTGCGTGCCGGACTAACTTGACCTCTTTTCTTTCCCGCCACAAACTCTCCGCTGCTGCTGCTGCTGCAGCAGCAGCAGCAGGCGCTGGAGTAGCTTTGCGTCAGGCGTCCCTGCCTGCCCTGAGGGCAGTGGCCG